CAACGGTGGGCCGCTTTACTCCAGTCCTGTCCTATTGGCTCTATGTGCATCCAAACCATGCAGCTGCAGACTGAAAAATATCTTCGCTGCTTTATGATCACACACAGGTCACGGTCTACACCCTACGCAACCATCTTTCCGAGTTTGGATCTGCTGTGGCGCTCAACTGATAACACTCCTCCGCTCTCTGTGCCTCCGTTTGGTGGCCAAGAGAGTCAAATGAGTGAGTTTCATGAGTCTTGTCTGCTTTTTAAATATGGCTTATATAATTTGGATCGGAGCTCAAGGGCCAAGGCTGTGTTTATTTCGCGAAATAAAAATTTTTGATGTCACATCGGATGTTTCGGGGATGTCGGAAGGGGTTTTTGGATACTAATAAAAAAAACTAATTACATAGCTCGTCTGGAAACTGCGAGACGAATTTATTAAGCCTAATTAATCCATCATTAGCGTATGTTATTTACTGTAACACTTATGGCTAATCATGGACTAATTAGTCTTAAAACATTCGTCTCGTGATTTCCAACCAAACTGTGCAATTAGTTTTTTTCGTATATATTTAATACTCCATACATGTACCGCAAGATTCGATGTGATAGTTTAGGGTGAAAATTTTTGAGAACTAAACCAGGCAGGTACTTTCACCATCGCAAAATCACTTTGTCACGACTCAAGTGACTGAGCTAAGAAACGGAGCTTGACCCGCAAATTTTCAATTTTTGAGTACATCTCGGGGGGCGGCCGTGTGTGGTCTATACGGACCAATTGATCAAAAATGTTCGTACTATATATCACCATCGTCATTTTGGATGCATGCATGGGAAATTTGGAAGCATGGGAATGGGTGCGTGTTTGTTGGAGCAGGACCTTGTGTTCAAATGCTCCTACAAAAAGTGGCTGATGAAGGTATTTGTGGTGTTGTGCCGGGGCTCCCGTACTTCATCAATTGTTGCCTTGGTCGTTTCTGTTGGATGCTTAGACTGGTGTCACTTGTGTGAGTTCGTGGTCTTTTTATAATCTAGTACGTGCGGCACGAATGTAACTGTGTTGGCTGGTAGGAGCAGGCTTTGCCTGCTGCTTTGTGCTTCTTTTTTCTTAATTAGATGGCACACAACTACTCTCCGGCCTGATTCAAGAAATAAAATGCTTAAACAGACATCCATGATCATTAAACCATAATCAGTGGCGAATCTAGACGAAAACATCAGTGGGATCATTGGCGTCAACTTTATTATGTGGTATAAATTTTCTTAAGCTTGAACAGTATTTACAAAGGAACTTACAGATTTCTTAGGGGTCGGCGGACCCGATGAAAGCCCCTAGATTTCCCCTTGACCATAATTGTTGTTAAAGGAAAAAAAAAGTTGCTATGCAAACATATGTAGTTGGAAAATCATGTGGTCGCTAAATATGCTTGGACAAGGAAAGAATATGAAGCTACTCCTTTGCATTTTTGAACAACTATCGTTATATCGGGTCTTAAATAAACTTCTAAAAGTGAGATCTTCTGTTTTGGTCAAGAAAAAAGATTGTGAGGATTATTACTCACAACTTTTCACTTATGAAATAGGCTCTTATCCATTTCAATTCGTTACCTAGGAATAGCGATGCATTATAGGAAATTAAACAACAATGATTAGATAATCAGCGTAAAAAGAATTCAGGGGAAAACTAATATATATGGAAGAGTAGATATCTTTAGTTGAGAGGAGACTAGTCCTAATAAGCTCCGTTATGTCAAGTTTACCTATATTTATGATTTCTTTCTTTGAGATATCTAGAGAGGTTCTCAAGAACATAGAGTATTTCAGGTCTAGGCTCTTTTGGTAGAACTGTTAGCACAGAAGAAATACAAACTAGTAAATTGCGATCTAGCTTGCCAACCTAAGGTGCAAGGCAATTTGGGGTTACAAAACCTAGACATTCAAAATAAATGTCTAATACATCTGCTACAGAAATGATCAGTAAAGGGCACCAATGATAAAACCAATACGTTGTTTTAAATTGGCATAGTACAATACGTAACAACAACACATGAACAATTTTTTTCTTCTTTTTTTTGAGGGGAACGCACGAACAATTTTGTGGCAAACAAAATCTGAAAACGACAGTAGAAGTGTTTTTCTTTCCAAAACGTAACCATGCACGGATGGCCCGGCCCGGCCCAACTTTAGACGCTCCGTAGAATATCCAGCAGCCGCCACCGTCCTTTGTTTCTTGTGTGGATCCGCTCTCCTCCGTCCGGCACACAACACGAACACCCACCACCACCAGCCGACGGCTTCCTTCCACGGTTGCACCCCAACGCGCACCGTTGCGTTCACAGGCAGGCAGAGTCACGCGCACGGCAGACGCCATCTGGGCCCCACCACGCAGTGGGGCTAATAGGTCGGTTTCCGTTTGCCTAGCTGCATATAAAAACCTCCGGCCCCGATCGTTCTCGTGTCTTCCACGGCGCCATTTTGTTCAGATGAAGAAAAATCGAAACTCAAAGCATTCCAGCCTTCTCCTCCCCTGACCGGAAGCAAGCAAGCAACGGCAGCGATGGAGGTGGAGACCACCAGGCCGCCGCCGCCGGCTTCCGCGTCGTTCAGCATGCCGTCGTCGTTGGCGTCGGCCTCGGGGCCAGCGGGCGGCGGGGATGAGTTCACGGCGGACGACCTCGCGGCGGCGGACCAGCTGGTGCAGCTCAACGTCAGCGGCGGCGGCGGCGGGGACGAGGAGGACCAGTGCTGTTCGTCGTCGGCCCGGTCGGTGAACAACGCCGAGAACGAGGATGACGACGAGGAGGAGGACGGAGCCGCGGGACGGGGGCCGGTGGACCGGAGGGCCAGGAAGCGCTACCGGCTGGTGTCGGAGCTCTACGCCGCCACCAGGCAGGTGAAGGCGGCAGCCGTCGCCGGTGGTGGTGGTGGTGGCAGGAGGCGGAAGGGCAGGGACGGCGTGGAGAATTGAGAGCTGGATCGAGCCGACATGAATGCAGTGCGTGCCGAAGTTTCGAGCCGACATGGTCTGGGTTGGGCTTCTTGAGCTCGTGTAAATATTTCCTTTCTTTTTTTGTTTCTGTATAAAACAGTTTTGAGCGAGTGCTTGTTTCGTTTCCTGATGTTTGAGATCGAAATTTGAACTTCTGCAAGTGTTCGATTCAAATATCTAAGCTTCGACTGCAATTTTTTGTTTCCGCTTACTTCTTTCTGAATTAGTATACTATTACCAGTAATTAACGCGTGATTGTTTCTGGAACCTTCTACACGTATGGGTCGCTGCTTGGCTAGCCTAGAATCAAGAGTACAGCATGGCCGTTGAGCTTGCTAGAAATAGTCAATAGATGACACGCTCGGCAAACGATCGACTGAGCTTCGATTGCAAGCAATGCTGCATGCATGTACGTATACGCGTCGATCTGGTGCTCCAGGCAGCAACACGCAAAAGGACTTAGATCCACCTGCTTGCCATCTTTTTTTTCATTCCGAAACACGGTATAGACGACTAACACATACTCCATTCCTCAGCAGGATGTTTGGTTCGTGGACCCACTCCATCATAGATGAGGTGGTGCATTATTAGTCTATTTCTTAAATTTAGTGTAATGACTTTATTTCTCGTACCAGTGCTGGTAAGGAATGAGGTGACGATACGTCAACCGATTCCATTCCATAATCCAAAAAAAAAGTGATGAATGAGTAGAAGATGGATCACCTCATTTCTCAAACAAAAACACACCCCAAATTTGATGGAATGACTCTATTCTTCGTATTAATATACTTGTGAGGAATGAGGTAACGATGAATCAATTCATTACGAACCAAACAAAAAAAAAGAGAGGAGTAAGTAGATGATGAACTCCTCGTCATTTCTCAAACCAAACACCCTCTAAATGTTTCACCAAAGAAGTGTTATTTACACTACCTCAGATCTTCAAATCAGTGCCGGTTCAAACCCCCATTCACTGCCAGATTTAGGTATCCAGAAATGCATTTTCTGGACATACTTGCCACGCGGACATTTTTATCTGACGTGGCAACGCCACGTGGCGGGAAATATGCCGTCTTAAAATCAAAATGGAGCTAGACGTGTATGCATTAGTGTTGAACGAAGCAGGGCAGTGAGCAAACAGGGGAGCACGAAGCACGCGAGGAGGCGAAAGGACCCGGCGAGCTGGACGATGTACCTGGCGCGGATGTTATGTTTTAGGAGTCGTGGCGGAGGCGGTCAAAGGTAGAGTAGCAGGCGCTGACTGCGGCGGCAGACAAGGGAATAGAGGGCGTAGGCGAGCGTCTGGATGCAAGTGGCGTGGCGGCGGGCAGCCCGCCCCACGTCCGCACGAGCCGCGAGCTCGCTCATGTGTCTGCTAGCTAGCCGTGATGCAATCCCTTCATCCTGCCTCGGCCATGGCCACACGCACGAGCTGCTGCTCGCCCTGCCTCGCCTCGTCCCAAGACCATGCACCATCATCACCCAGCACAAGTGGGCGCCCTCGTCGTGCCCTAGGAGCCAGCCCAAGTCCCATCTGTGCCTCAGGCGAGCTTGCCATCACCGACTATTTAAGCAAAGCACGCATGCGCCGTGACACCTTTGCGCCCTTTCAAAATTCATCCACACCAGTGCCTCCCATTCCAATCCCTCGGAGCCATGAGTGCGCCCGGTTGTTAGCTAGCCCCTAGACAAGACCTCATTGCAAACCATTTTTGGTAAGTGACGAATTTTGGAATCTCATGGAATCGGCCGCCGAAGCTGAAGCTCTGCCGTGGCGCTAATTTTTTTCCTCTCTGTTTATATCCAAGATGTGTTTTAGCATCGCCTTAACGCCCCCTACATGACCCTTGCACAGTTTGGCCGGTCTCCTCGTCGTTCGTCGGTAACACACTAGTGCTCGTCGTCCGCCTGTTGCTGTCGTCGCCGTCATGTGGTCAGTCGTCATGTGACCTCGACGCCCTGCTGCGGTCGGAGCCCTTCGGCGCGTCGCTAGACTTCCCCGTGTTCCCCACCAACGTCCTCTTCTAGGGCACCCACGACGAGGGCACCAACGTCGGCCTGGCCACGCCCCCGCCACCTATCGCCAGCGCTAGCGCCGCCGCCGCGACCTGCTCAGCCTCCGGGCGCAGCAAGGAGAACCTGGTCATCGACATCCCAACGCAGCCCGTGGCCCTAAGCACGCCGCCCATGAACTCCCCGCTGCCGGCGAGCCGGATGCCCGGGACTGCCGATAAGATGTGGTCCCCGGTCTCCACCAGGCTACGGTCGCTGCGCTGGCTGCTTAGCAGAGGCAATCTGGCCATGGTCGGCACCTCTTACAGCCCGCGCAGCGCTAGTGACATCGAGCAGGGCCCGTCGAAGCCGAGTCCGCCCACTCGCCTAAGACGTCGAAGACGCCTCCGTCGGCGAACTGATCCAGATCCCCAAACTTGGCTCGGCTTTGGAGGTCAAGGCGAGGTCATGGGCAAGCAGCGCCGTGGCCAGGGGCGAGCCTGGCATGTACAACACTTGGCAAGGGACCACAGAGGCGAGGTGGGCAGTGCGTGTCACTCTGCGGCATTGCGCCGAACAGGTGGCGTGCGTGTCCTGTCAGGGACAGAACACAGATGATCTGTTCGGGATATTCCATTTAGATTTCAGGGGTTCACTGCATATTTTCTCGCCTCGTGGCAATGCCACGTCAGATAAAATGTCTGCGTGGCAAGTATGGACCTGCGGTGTATCATTAGCAAGTTTTGGTATCAAAAATGCATTTTCCAAGTTCTTGGATCTAAGTGACACCCCATTACAAGTTCAAAGGCCTCTCATGCTTTTAACTCTATGTTCTATCACAATAAGAATGCAAATATCTTTATGGTTTAATGGAAGTGGTTTTCATGACAACAAATCTTTGCATATGATCTTCAAATTTCTAAACTAAATACTTTGAAGTTATTTGTGATCAGAGTTCCAAACTTTGACTAACATCTTGTCCAAAACGTCAAGTTTTTGCAAACTAGATGGAGTACATATTAAAATCAATCGGCCTTCTGCTGTTGTTGCTTCCATCAATTGAGCAACAAAACTGTAATGCGCAGTCAACGGGGATAAATCGAACGGATATTTGTGAATGGGATGTTTTCTTACATTATTCAACGGAAATAGGTATAAAGTATTAATTTATTTTTGTAATAAATCTAATGGTGTCAATCTTTTTTTATTCATCTAGATACAAATTTTCAATATTGTTGATCGAAGCTAAAAAAATGTTAGACTTAGAGAAAACTTAGATCCATGGATTTATTATATAGTTGACTTGTGGTAGGAGGGATTACTATTTATCAGAAAAAATAGGTCTGATCATTTTGAAAAACAACACCTTATTCATTTCCTAAAATTAATTGATAGATAATACACGAACTAATGATTAGGTTTCTTATGATTGAACATGACCATTTGGGTTTATGTCTTCGATGTGGCGCAATTAATTGTATTTTCCAAAATTTAATGGTACTATTCTTTCATTGGTAAGCATCGTCCTTCAATATCTAAACATCTACGATGACTTTATCAACTTCAAGATTTGATGAATTGGACTTGTGCCTTCTAGAGATATTCGTTGGGGTAATGTTCCATCAATGGTAATAAACGGCGTGCTTGTCAATAGCCAGATGTCTGTGTGCTATGCCGCTATGGTAACTTCATCAACTTCAGGATCTGTCAAATTAATCTTTCAGAGGATGCCTGTGGACTGTGGTGACTTTATCGACTTCAAGATATGTAAAAGTTAGTTAAGATCTGCCAAATTAATATTTTTAGAGGTGCTTTAGAGTTATGGTTTTGGTGCCGACCATTATAAGATCAGTATAGCGCATGTTCGTCAGCATTTGTATTGTAGTATTGTTTTAACTTGCAAAACGAGAAAAATATTAATAATACATACATGCCTGCTGGATGAGATGTCAAAAGCATTATATGTAGTAGTACTTAATGTAATGATTTTTTTTTATCTCTCTCACTCTCCGAACTGATTGATCCATTTTTTTTGATTGACTGATGGATTGAGCATTAATTTCCAAGGTCTACCCTGTTCTGCAACCCAGGATGGAGTGGAGAATGGTTGGCGCGTAAGCTCCCACTCAAGTAAAGTCGTGTATCATTAATCTGACCTTTCAAGGTCAACAACACTTTCGGCCTGTTCGCTCGTTGGTTTCAGTCAGGATTTATCAGTCAGTCAACAGTATTTTTCTCTCACAACAAACCAGCACCAGTCGAGTTTATCAGTCCAGAAACCAACCAGCGAACATGCGGTTTGACAGATTCGGTATAAGATAATACACCATGCATATGTGACAATGTTTTAGCGTAGCTACTAGACCTGGCTAGCTATGTTATCCGATCCACTGATGCGCTTGTTGTCAGTAATAACTTGGTATACGTAACATCTAGGATTGGTTGTTCCTTGCTAGCGAAGCATGTGGTGGACAACAATGCATAAGCATTCGCAGCATTTATCCATGCATACTTGGTATACGGTAGATCGATGACACGGATGGGTTCGATTCAGTCTCCTGACCCGAACCAAATGCTACGATCAGGTTGGGACGTAGGATCACATCATTCCACATTTGTCGGTCTGGCAAAAGCAAATGTGCGCTAACTTACTACTCATAGGGCCAGTTTAATTTGGTCGGTGATGTAGTTGCCATGCCAAATTTTTGACAAGCTATGGCTGCCACGGAAAGTTTGGCGATCAAATTGGAAGTCACGTCTATGACAAAGTTTAGTAAGAAAATAAGTCTACGACGTATGGGACGAGACAACAAACCAACAGCTAAAAAAAAAGGGGGGGCATGACCAACCTATGACATGGCATGTTTTTTTATTCTATATATAAACTACAAAACATATAGCTTTGTAGATATATGTATATAATTTTTGTTATATATATAATATATCTAAAAACTTATAATTTGAAACGGATAAAATATAAAGAACTACAGTCTATCAATACTCAGAACCAAATCATCTTAAAAAAAGAAAGGGAATCTTCGTGTGTTGTAGTACAGTATATCCGGCAGCACTCCAAGTTGTACAACCCTGCCCGCGGCTTTGCGTCTACGTGCCCGCCCGCCCGTCCCGTCCGTAACGCCAACACCGTGACCGTGAGCACTAGCAATAGCTACCCTGGCGCGGGGGGGACTGGGGAAGCGGCTGGCTGGGCAGGCGACGCGACGCGACCCAGGTGCGCGCGCGGGCGCGGGCGCGGCCGCTGCGCACCACCACCACGTGAAGTGCGCCGCGAGGACGTGGCCCAAATTCCACCCGAATCCTGCCGCGCCGCGCCACCTTCTTGCACAAACCACCTGCCGCTCTGCACAAATCGCAAAAGCAGCACATCCAGCCCCGGCCCGCGACGAACCCCGTCGACACATCGCCGCACAGGCGCGCACGGAATCCGTGGCCTCGGTCCGCACGATACGCAATCGTCTCCGTCAAACAAACCATGCGTTTTCTGGATAGCCCCCCTCCGGTTCTCCATTTGCGTGAGGCCGTCCGGCGGGCCGATCGCCTATTCGCCTGGGCGTGGAGAGAGGTCGGTCGGTTCACGCTCACGCCGCAGCAGCCAGGCATTACAAAACTGCAGCGAGCGATTAACCTCCCCAGCCAGCCTAGCCTAGCCCGAAAATTCAACCAACGCCGAGGAAAAAAAGAGAGAAACGAAAAAAAAAACACAGAAAATTAGAGAGATAGGGACACGCGAAGTTAGCCGGAGGCCAACCCTCGCTCGCTCCTCCCGCACGCCCCCCTCCGTTCCTCCGCCGGGCGACCGATCGATCGATCCGTCCACCGCGCGCGCGGCCATGGCCGACGAGGCGGCGGCGCAGGCCCCGTCCCCGGCGCGGTTCACGGCGCGGGAGCTCGCGGCGGCGGAGCAGCTCATCCACCTGAGCGAGAGCAGCTGCTCCTCCTACGCCGGCGCCCTCCCGCGGGGCTCCGTCGCGTCGGCCTCCTCCACCTCGTCCCCGCGCTCCGTCAACGCGCCGCCGCTCCCGCCGGCTACCCCTGCTCCTCCTCCTGCTGCTGGGCCTGGGCTATTAGCCGCGGCGGCGGAGGATGACGAGGAGGAGGAGGAGGACGAGGACCAGCAGGAGGTGGGCGGGAGGCGCCGCAGGAACAAGCGCTACCGCCCGATCGCCGAGATCTATGCGGCCACCGAGCCCAAGCCGATCGGGGCCGGGGCGCGCCGCAGGAAGGCGGACAGGCCCTCGACGGACGGCGCGCCGGAAGCCGGGAAGTAGAGAGGGAGAGATCGAGAGAGAGAAGGTGGACTTGCTTGTAATTATGGATAATTAGCAGGGACTAGCTAGCTCTAGCTTGCTATAGGAAGGTTTGTGTGAGCTTGGTTTGGACTATCATCATCATATCTATCCATCATCCATCCTCTCTAGCTACTACCTAGCTGCGACCTTTTGTTACTCATCATGCATGATCTTCTTCTTCTCATGCATCATATCCGATCCATCCTCCTCTTGGAGAGGAGAGGAGAGGATAGGATACATGCATGCATGCATAGTTGCATACTGCATACAGGTCAGTGTGATCAAGGAGCTGGCGGTGGGTTATTAACTGTAAATTAAACAATTGTATATATCCTTCACTAGTAATATATCAGCACTTGCTTTGCTGCACATCATGTATCATGTGTCCATGCATACACTGAGGATACCAGTTTTTGCCACACCATCGACCGATTGTCAGTGTCAGCTATAAACACACATGAGGAAGCAAGAGCGCTAGGAATAAGAGGATAGATCGATCGATGATGGCCAGCATGAGGAAGCAAGAGCGCTAGGAAGAGGATAGATCGATCGATGATGGCCAGACGTGTGCTCTGAGGTGCACAATCGTGGGGAGCGCGCCCAGTGTGTTTGGAGCCAGGTCAGGTCGATCAGCTGATGATTCTATCTAATATTTAATTTCCCCTCGGTTGGTTCAGTCCTGCGCATAAGCGCGAGTATTGTTCTTATTTCTTTCCTTCATTCCCCTTCAGGTTGTACTACTAGCTCTATTAGCTTTTATGGTCGCGCAAGTAGGGTGGTGGTCTCCACGGCTCCTAATTTGTGTCTCGATTATTGGGGCAGTAGAACGATGAACTGAAGTTGGTCTTACGGACTGGCCCTTTATTTTGTCTGTGTTAACTCTTTAGAAACAATCGTTCATTCTTTCTTCTCTGCTGTGGAGTGTGATCAAGAAGTAATTAATTAATGTGTGGGATATACAAATATAAGTTAATTAGCTACGCTCAGGACCCTAGAATTCTCGATGCCGGTTGGATTGACATATAGTTAACCAAATTTATCAAGCCTTTATACATGGATGATGTTTCAAGACTTTCATCTCTGTGAGTTTCAGATCGATCTTGCATATAATTATCCATGGGTATTGAGCTTACTGTTGATAGACGACAAAGCTACCTGGGGCACATTCAGACATGCAGTTCGTTTATGCATCCAGCCATGCTCTTAGCTTAATCCATATATCCTCTTCATCCTAAAAAAGAATACAATTATTTTAGATTTGAATCAAGCTAAATTTTCTTAAGTTTGATTAAGTTTAGAAAAATAATATGAACATTTGTGTCTCCTAATGCATTACTATGAAAAAATTATTCCACTTGATCTAATGATACTTATTCGGTATCATAAGTATTCGTACTTTTCTTTTGTATAGATTTTAGTTAAATTTAAAATTATTTGACTCATCGAGAAGCGATAATTGCACTCTACTTAATATAAAAGTATGGGGAGTTTATTTCCGTGGTTATTCACTCCCTTCAATGTGTTGAGGGCAGTTGTGTAAAGTCTGATCACAAGATGAGTTAAAATACAAAGCATTTCCATGGTCCCTCAATCTTTCCTATGCCCACAGGAGAGTTAGAGCGGTGTGTCCAATCATGGTACAAGAGTGTGGAGTCTCTGATCCCAAGATGACTTAGAACGCAATGACGTATAATCATTGTCTTTGGATAAATCTCAAGCTGCCCATATCAGTTATGTTAGAGCAACTGCAGGGACACACAAGCTAGTTTGTAGGGGTTAGCCAATCCCTATAAAATATTGCTAATTCTATAGAGATTACTGTTCAGCATTAGTAATGACCCCAATGAACTTGATGTCTGACTTCGCCCCTGCGTTCACCGGGTTACAAAATCGAATTCTAAAACGAATTAGACATATGACAATAATTGTTGAATAAATTTCTGAGTTACAGATCTTTTATATGAGCGTGCAACAAGATATTTGTCCAATTTTATATAACATAAATATATGTTTGCTAGTTTATTAGATACATGTATAGACAGCACAGGATGAGAGAGGACCGGTTCCCTGATGACAGAGAGGAGAGAGAACACTCGTAATTGACACAATCCCAGTGCGCCTCTCCAGAAAGATGAAAGGTAAACTGGGATGCGCTGACTAGCTCTCTTAAATTGAACGGTACTTCAATTCGATGTATGTTATTAGATTGGGCGCCCTATTAGATTAGTGATCAACTTACATATGGTCAGTTTAATTTGATTGGTGTTTCTGATGCAAAAGGCGTTGCTCTGCGTTGTCTGTTTCCGGCAACTCCATTGGTCATATCGATGGATATCCGATCCAATCATCTACAGACTAATATTTCTCTCTCGATGATATACAAGTGTAGATGAGGACGGCGATCATCAGACGAAGACCCTAGTGGCGCCTTTCAGCGTTCCGATCGAGCCTGAGAGGCGAGAGCATACATAGGCAGTTGTGCTAGCTGCTGCTGCTCTGCTAGTCCCTCAACGAACACAAAATGGCGTCATTTATTTACCATCTTACATTTTTGGAACATAAACGGTAAAGGATTTAGTAATACTTATATAAAGAATTTTCAGGCATCCGAAACAACTGAAGCTTTTTATAGTTTATTAAACGTATTCGATGAGAGGAACTTTGCAAACAACGCCTACGGACTAGCAGAGTAACAGCAGTGCAGCAAAGGCGCGGTCACCTTGAAAAAAATCCAGGAATACAAGAGATTTGACGTGAGATTTGTTGATAATTATAAAAGAACAAGAAGTTGAAAACAGAGAGCAGAAAAGAGATAGGAGGGGGTATATATACAAAGACTAAAAAAAGAAGGGGAAGAGGAGAAAAAACATCACGAGCCGCACCAAGCTCCAGCTAACCACACATCATCATTCATCACTCAGGGCCTCAGGCCATCCCAGCATCAACTGAAGCTCTCGTTCAAAATAAAACAACAACTGAAGGTGGTGCCTTATCGAAAAACCAACTAGTAGTAGGTGCATGCAGCGGCAAAACAACTCAGTGGCACCCAACCACCCAGTGAAAACAAAGAGGACTTTAGACTACTTTCAATAGGTTGTAACATATACACATTTATTAGATGTCATATATAATATTTTGTTTATATGACAAAGAAAATATTAGAGAGAGAATGAAGCTATAACTCTATGGTGTTAGGGCAGTTTTCTAGCGTAAAAATTATGAGATATAATTTCTATACTTATCAAATAATATACACTACATATAGAAACCGTATTCCAAATGAATGGTTTTTTCAAATTTAATTTTTATCTAATCACATGCATGTCTTCTCACGTATCATTTACCTAGTTATCACATCTCTTTGTATATTGGTTTCTTGTAGACATGGTTTTTGGGTTGGAGCTACCCTTATAGCTTTGGCACGAAATCCAACAATTCAGAATTATTTTTGACAGTTTGGAGCCACTTTCATACACACAACATATGAAATAATCAATTATTGCGTTACTATTGGATATAATGGCATGATATCATGTATTGTAGCGGTTCTTTAACTCTTCTTAAGTGCATTGGATATTAGAGTATGGTACCATGGATTGGGATTAGCCTTAGTTGCCAACAACGTACTCAATTTTGATCAAGTTTGTGGAAAATAGTATCAACATTTATGTTTCTAAGGTTTATTATGAAAATATATTCTTTGGTCAACCTAATGATACTTATTCAATACCACTAATATTAGTAACTTTCTGTATAGATTTGTTCAAACTTAAAATTGTTTGAATACTCATAAAACGTGAATTGCATTCTTTCCGGGACAAAAAAAACAAGGATTTTTTTTCTAGGATAGAGGGAGTATCTAAGCATATGTTTGGTTGGAGGGTGGGACTGGTATGATGTGGGATATCCCACGTCATTCAAGTGTTTGGTTCTAGAACATAAGGGATTGAACAACCCCTAGGAGAAAATAAGACAATTAGATATCATCCCTCGTAATACCTCAAAATCGAATGGATGAAGAGGGACGAGCCTGTTGGCGCGATTGTGTGGGAAGGAGAGGGTCACATAGGTATCTGTGCGAGGAGCGCAACAGCTGTGCGGGAGCTGGTCATGGAACATTGGGGATCATAGGGGAGCCAGCAACTGCTGGTTCGCAAGGGCCATGGGGCGCGACGCGAGGGTCCAAGGGTGCTCCGAGGTCGCAGGAGAGAACATAGGAGTACAACAGGCGGCGGCTACCATGGGAGCTCAAGTGGGGCACCAATCACAGGGCAGAGAGGAAAACAAGGAGGAGAAGATTAACAGGCTGACAGACTTAGACCGTTCTAATCACAATTTTGAGATACCATCAACAATATTAAAAACAATGATATCTCTCCAACCAAACAACGAACTGGGACCATCCCAACCTAGAAAACAAGGACCGGTACATCCCATCATATCCCCTAGTGTCCAAAGCAAATACATGCTAATACTCCTTCCATCTCAAAATAAACCAACTTCTAGATTTATGCTAAGTCAAACTATTTTAAATTTGACCAACCTTATCGAGAAAGAGTACTAACATATATGACACCAAGTACACTACAAAAATATATTTCAAGGTGTACCTAATAACACTATTTTGGTGTGACAAATATTGATGCTTTTTTCTATAAATCTGGTCGCTTAAGATATATAGTTTCCTGAATTCTTGCTACTGTCGCCATCCATTATTGAATTGAGCTGGCGAGTTCAATTGCGAGTTTCTACGAATTTTTGAAGGTCCTCCAGTTATGTTCCTTGCAGGTCATCCTGTTCGCTTGTCTTTTTAGCCGTACTTTTTCAGCTAAAGAACTGTGTTTTTCTCTCACAACAAATCAGCGAACAATACTTTTCAGCTTGTCTTTTGAGCGAAGTGAACAGGGACGATTGTTCTTTCGCTTTCAGTGTCCCTCGTTTTTTTTCTATTTGTTTCTGCAATTACGCCACCATTTGTC